TGTTGACAAGCAGGTTGTTGAAACACCAGTAGTAGACACAAACGTCGTGGAAGAAGAAGATATGACCTATTCAAGAAGTGTTCTAGGAAGTGCAGTTGAAGATGTTAGCGTTCAAAGAATTTTAGGGACTCTATGGAACTATCACAATGACAACCTCGTCGTTAATTTTACAAACACTGCCTCTTTAGCAAAGAGAGTAGAACCTACTAAGAGAAACGTGATTAGCACAGCCTCAAAATTGTATGATCCACTCGGTCTGATTTCTCCGATCACAGTCCAGTTTAAAATCCTGTTTCAAGAGTTGTGCAAGGACAAGAGAGACTGGGACGAACCACTGGAAGGTTCTTGCAAGTCAATCTGGCAGAGATTGGTGACACAACTGCAGGGTGTTACACCTCTTACTCTTCCGAGATGTTATTATGCTGGCACAGAAGGGGAAGTGATTGCGAGTGAACTGCATGGGTTCTGTGATGCATCAGCTAAGGCATACGGTGCGGTGGTCGTTCTGCGTATTGTGATGACGTGTGCAAGTTATGTCAGATTTGTATCTTCAAAAACACGAGTAGCACCTCTCTCGGAGCAGACCATACCGCGTCTAGAACTGTTATCCGCGGTAGTCCTGTCCAGACTGATCCATAGCGTAAAGGAAGCACTTAGTTCTGAGATGAAGATTGACAAATTGTTTTGTTGGGCAGATTCCAAGATAGCCTGGTATTGGATTGTTCAGAGCCAGAAGGAGTGGAAACCATTTGTTCAGCACCGTGTTGACGAGATAAGAAAGCTTGTACCTGAAGAATGCTGGAATCATTGTCCAGGGGCTGACAACCCAGCCGACTTACTCTCTAGAGGTATGGACTGTCGTGAGTTGGAGAACAGTGTGCTATGGTGGAATGGTCCCAAGTGGCTGACTGGTTTCGAAGGCCTGGAGAATCGGAAGGAGATTGCGGAAGAACCAGTCCCTGAGGCCTGCCTTGTAGAAATGAGGGTGAAGGATCGGAAGACAGTAACGACAGCTCTTGCAATGAACAGTGAACCTACTATGCTGTGTAATATCATTCAAAGTGAAGCCTTCAGTAATCTTGGACGTCTCCTGCGAGTTACAGCCTTAGTTCTGAAGTTTATTAAGCTATTAAAGGCACAGCGACAGGGAGATGTGAATCAGAAGCCGGAGATACTTGTGACCGGTGCAGACATAGAACAAGCCGAACTTCTATGGATCAAGGAAGTACAACGAGAGATGAAGAGTAAGGAGAAGTTTAAGATGAGGTCGCACCAGCTAGGGTTGTTTGAGGACGAGAAGGGAGTTATTCGATGTCAAGGTAGACTCGGGAACAGCGAGCTTACAGATTCTGCGAAGTATCCAATCTTGCTTGACGCTAGCCACCACTTAACTACACTTGTAGTCTGGAGATGTCACGAAAGAGTCATGCATGGAGGAGTTAAGGAAACACTCACCGAGTTGAGATCGAACTTTTGGATTGTTCGAGGCCGATACTTTATCAGAAGTTTGTTGTTTAGATGCACAGTTTGTAAGAAGTTTGAAGGGAAATCGTATAAGGTTCCACAAGCTCCACCTCTGCCTAGCTACAGAGTGAAAGAGGCGCCTGCATTCTCGTACATCGGTTTGGATTATGTTGGACCTTTTTTTGTGAAGTCTACCAGTGACAAAGAATGTAAGGTCTGGATTTGTTTGTTTACTTGTTGTTCTACGAGGGCGGTCCACTTCGAGGTCGTGCCCAATATGACTTCAGAGGCATTTCTGAGGTGCTTCAGAAGATTTGTGGCTCGTCGTTCAAGGCCTTCTTTAGTGGTATCAGACAATGCGAAGACCTTCAAGAGTGCTTCTAAGGAGCTTGAGAAGATTACAAATGATCCCAGTGTTGTTAAGTACTTTGCCCAAGAGAAGATCAAATGGTCCTA